GCTGAGGAGCTCAGTGACAGCATGGCTGTGTGTCTCTGCTTCGGTGGAGCAGGTGGTGCTGCAGGGCAGGCGCTTCAGGCAGGAGATTGCCTGGGTTTGCCTTTCTTCCTGAAACCTCTTTTGTGGAATCCCCTGCTTTTCAGCTCACAAAGATAACTCGAGATGAGATTGCTGCTTGGTACGTGGGGAAACACACTGGCTGACAGTACAGTATAACAGATGCTTAGTTTCTTAAACACATGATTAGTATTAGTTACCCAGACCTATACGTGCAACCAGTTAAACAGCAGTTGTGTGACTCAGCCCTTACTACTAAATAGCTGAAGGCTTTTGCTTTGAAATATTTGCTTCATGCTTATTTCTTTCTGGCAAAGCATGATCACGAGATTTCTACACAAACTACTGATTGCCTTATGGTTTTTAATGGTCTAGTTTCTGGTAGCTGTCAGTAGAAGCAAAACAGAAACCTTGTTCAGCTCTGGAATCTGCCTGGGCTGTTGGCTGTTCCCTGTGAGAGATGTCATTTACTGAAATCAGTTATTTTGATTACAACAAACCTTGGTAGATTAAGCTTTTACTCTTTCAAACGTACATCCATCCAGAAAAGATGAGTATTTAGGTATAAGCTAGCCATGTGTACTTATCTATCTGCAACATCAAAGCAAAGCTGAGTTCCTGCAATATCGTTTGAACAGAAGGGGTTTGTGCTCACTGTAAAGCTGGATTTGATCTACTGCAAGTAAAAAGCAGATGTAGCTCAGCCTTTGGGTAATTTGCAAGTGCCAGGTTACACAGCAGGAATAACTGTGGAGGGCTATGGGCGAGACTGACTCCTCTTCTGACATCACTCATCTCCACATCAGTGAGAGCTAATCAACACTTCAAGTTATGAATACTGAACACTTGTCACAATCTGCAGCTAAAAACTTATTCACTGAAATTATACAGTGAATTAATTGAAGTAGCACCTTGGAGAAAATTATAAGTGTTTTGCAGGCAATTTGTGAACAGGTAAAGTGAAATTAATTGAATGAATGATTTGTTGTGAACTATTCTCCCAGAAGCAGGAAGATTCTATTTTTGGTTTTTCTCATTTCACTAAGGAAAGTTTGAAATGTTCACCCATATATCCTGCCATAGAAACATAATCCCAACCTTGGTCATTCTTTTCATCTTTATCACCTTGCCATATTGTGAAGATCACTGACATCTTTAGTTATATTCATGAGGTAATTTATAGTTAAAACACTTTAACAGTTAATTTAATGATTAATATGTATTAGAAATAGAAATTGTCCATTTTTTCATTTTTTTGCTCAGTTTCTTAGTTGTAAAACATTCACATTGGTCTACCACATAATACTCAGAGGTAGAATTTTATCTGTAATCCACATTTCGAGGCTGAGATCTAATATATGAAGTAATTCTACCTCTGAAAGATCATTAACACCTGACAGCTTTAGAAAAGAGAAATGAAGCAGTCTCCATATTTTTTACGCTGTCTTTGGTGCTTGGCATAAATTTTTTAATTTCCACAATGTGATGTATGGTGGTTTTGTGTCAAAAAGAAACCTGTTCACTCTTTATCAATGAAAACTTTCATTTAGACTTAATAAATTTGTCAGAACTGCAATGCAATCTGATGTGACTAGATTGGAAGTGAATGCCATGCACCTCCCAGATATGCTCTGTTCTGTGGTCTTGGTTTTTTGCATGGGAAATATGTCCAAAACATAAAACCTTGTCCTATTTTCTTATACTTCCATAAATTATCTGTTGAGATGTGACCTTAACAAGGGTATCAGGTATAATTGTGACCCCTGCCAGCTTTCCTCTCTGCTTGAGAGTTCTTGCCCATGTGGAGTGGACAGTGCTGGGTAGTTCAAGTCTCCTGCCTGAGGAGATTTTGTTGTATTTAATTAATTCCTCCATCCGTGATGTTTTCATACACTGTATAAGGGTACAAGAAGCATTTTCAGAAGTAGTGGTTCATCTCTTCCCTCTGAAATCAGTGGAAATTCTACTTTCCTCTCTGAGTCAGAGTAAAGTGAATTCTTTTGAAAATCCCATTCTACTTGTCTATATAGGGAAAAAATTTTGGCCTACAAAGATAAAAGCTTTCTCAGAGAAACACTGGCATCTTCATATCACACTTGGGGAATTCTTCTTAGCACTTTATTATATGGCTTTGGAGGGCGAAACCAGGCTGCTTTACTTTCTCTGCCAAACTATCTGAGGAATCCTTGAGCAGCATAGAATAAATATCCTTAGGGCTTTTAAAAAGATCAGAGGTACTGTGACTCAGATTTGAGACTGCAGTTTCTGAGGACCTTGGTTCTTTAAGCTCAAATTGTCATTATTTAAAAAGCTTCCTCCTTCTGTGAGAACAGCTTTGGTTTGTTACAATAATGCTATGGATCAATTTATTGAGGAACAATTAAAATCCTCTTCCCCTGCTCCCAGAGTCCATTTAGTTATAGTTGTTGCAAGCAAGCTTGGGTTTATAGGTCCAACGTGAACAAAGATGAGGAAAACCTTTTAACTAGATTTCCAACCATACAGTCCAAATTCTCTTCCTTAGAGTCTAAAATACTTATCTTTATTGATGTAAGTGATGTGAAACAAATCAAAATACTCGTATCTATTTGTTTTGTCTGCTGTTTCAAACTGAATTGACATTATTCATTGCAGTTACCACTTCCCTTAGAGACAGGAAGGTAGGCTGAGACCAGAGGCCCTGCTGTGATCTGTATATCTTTTTTTTTGTGAATGAATATATTCTACTACTTGTGGTAAAATGTAGAGTCAGACAGTACTGAACTAGAAGTAAAATGAGCTTCTTTTCCTCCCTCACCTTCAATTTAATTTGGAAAAGGTGAGGGAGGAGCATGTTGTTCTCCTGTACTTCTAGAGGAGCACACAAGTGATTTGTGTAGGTTAGGCGGGTAATCTAGGATGGCTGAAACAGTCTGGTGTCTGCTTCTCTGTGAGTGGTGGCTGAGATGACTTGCCTGTTGCCTGATTATTCTGTGGGAGGAAAGGTATCATGCTGGTCTGTGCATGGACTGGCTGCTGCCTGGTCACTTCATACCAGTGTTCCCAGATCTATAAGCTGCATGTTTATTTCAGTATTTCTCAGCTCTGGAATTCCTGCAAGTATGAAGATTTTTTCATTACTTAATTTTGTTCCAGCTTGGAATGCCTTATCAATGCCAAAATAATCTATCCCAAAATACTCTGAATTAAATGTGGTTCCCATCTTTTGCATCCTTGCTGACTTTGTTTAGGTTCAAGAGGGACAGGGGAGCTGTGGCACCTGGCTCTGGGACACTGCTGAGAAGGGCAGAAGCTCACCTGGAGTGCACTGCCCCAAGAATCCCAGCTCCCTGCCTGCAAGGCATTCAATCTGGCAGATTTGCTGTGAAGCCATGGATGTTGAGTTGTTAGGTGTTGCTCCATAAATCCACGTGTGTTTCCCTGCAAGGGTTGTTGAAAGTTCATCACTGATCAGATTTTTCAGTTTAAGTTACTTGAATGTACTCAATTAGTATGTTCTGCAGAGCTTTTCTGCAGAAAATATTTGGTTATAATTCTAGTATCATTATCAGCTTTGACAATACTTGAACAGAGAAGGCCAAGAAGCTTTAATCTCCCCACTGTTTTCAAATGAAATTTTCTATTTGCTAAATACAAGGAAATCGGTGCATTTGGATTTGTATTTTGAATTTAAACCAAGTCAGCTATAATTGTCTTGAGCTTAGTTTTGTATCAGTGAAACTGATGCAGTATTTGTAAACTATATGATGGACAACAGAGACCAACTTTAAATTAGTAAACTATTTTCTAAGAAAAGGGGACTTCAGAGATACAAAGAAAAGCTGGAAAGAGATAAATGTGGCTTATGTTTTACTAAGTTCAAAAATATATTTCTGTTTTCCGTGTGCACGTCATTCCAAGACCATGTTTTTTCTCTTGAGTCTCAAGACAACATTGCTGTGATAAGAGAATGGATCACCAAACAGTGTGTGAACACAGTGGGAGTTCATACTCATAAAACTATGGGTGTATCGCTAAAATGCTGATAAATCACTTGAAAGCAGTTCCACCAGCTGTAAACTTGGAACACACTGAATGGTTAATTGCCAAGACTTATTTTAAGCTTCCACATTTGTAGATTCAAAGCAAAATGTACAATCATTTCAATTCCAAATCTGCTTTGGGATATGATTTAAGAATATTCTGTGGGCATAAACTGCTTTAGCAATGTTTTCCACTGACTGAGGTAGAACAAAAGAGCAAAGGCTGGATTTGCCATTATACATTATCTTCCAGCTTTGTTAAAAGTAGGATCCCATCTCCAGGATAGACCAACATCTTATTATTCCAGGGTGAGCTAATGCCACCACCCCCATCAAATTCCATGTTTTACTGTTAGCAAGGCTAAAAACAAAATCTAGGCTTCAGTTGTGCAGTAACATGAAATGTATTTTCTGTTTACATACACAACAACAAAATTTATTTGTGATCCTTGAGGTATCTAGTCCTTGTGGTGTCCTGTCTATTCCTATTAAATGGAAATATTTCAACATAGGTACTGTGCAGTTTCAGTGTTCAGAAGACAGTGTACAAAGAGATCTGCATTGTGCTTTTCCTGTTGCTGGTGTATAAACAGCACTACAGTCTCTCTAGATGTAGCAAGTTTCCAAACTCTTCAACTTTTCAGTTTAATTCTTCTTCCGCACAACTAAATAAAGACCTGGTAATTATATTTCCTGCATGTGAAAAGCTCTGAGGTGGAAATATTATTAAGTCAATCTTTCTCAGGTACAGTCAACTGACATTGAGAAAAGCTGATCTTTGGTTCTCAAATTCAAACATGGCTTTTTAAAATGTGTGTCAAGATTTTCCAAGAATACTTCTTTAGTTTTACTGTGAAGAAACAAAGCAGTATTTGTGAAAAACAGACTGTCTCCTGGTTGACTTATACTGTTTTGCCACCTAGGTGCAGTCACAATCAAATGCAAAAATGATGGGATGATGCAATAATGATTAGCTGGAATACAGCTGTGAAGAGGTACAGATTAATTTTATCGTGTGCAATGCATGTAGAGGAAATAGTCAATAAACCTTTAAATGTATTTGGAAGTGAAAATGAAAGGCTGAAATGGATTAGTTAATTACTAAGAACAAATTAAGTTAATTATTAAGAACAAATTCAACACTCGGTCATGTACACCAAACGAAGCATGGGAGCAAGGTGGTGTGTGGAAATGCATGTTCTGTGTGCTGAGAGGAGATCCCATTGTTTCCCAGGAAACAATGATAGCCAGAAATGTTCACATGCATCAAGTCATCATTGTATTAAAGCTCGTTGCTTTAGACAGAGACTGTCTCTAGAGGTAGAAAAGATGAGAATGGGAGAGAGATGATTTTGTAGTTCCTAAAGAAGTGTTTATAAACCCTATTTGTCAAGACATTAGCTTGTATCTGAAGCAGATTCCAAATTAAATATGTGCAAATGTTTGAGTTTCTTTCTGTAGTCTGTCTGAGGCTTTCAAGTCAGGCCACCCAAGAGGATGTTTTTTATGGAGGGGTTTTCCTAACCTCCAAACAGGTGTTTGGATGCTGAAATTGAGCTGCTCTTTATTGGAATTCACTACTGCCAAGAGAGTGCCATAATGGCATTAAAAAGAACATGACTTTTCTCTCAGTGAAGTTCTTTGCACATACCTAAAAGGAATAGTTATCTATTAGATATATTAAACATCATATATTGGATTGTCATGTAAAATTTACTGTTCAGTTGGACTTGCTTTCATGAGAACTTTACCTCAATTACTAGATTCTTTCAGTATTTTTAATTTTAGTACTGCCTTCCACTCAATCTAGGGCATTGAGGGCACTGAATAGCTAAGCCCTGCAAATTACAAGACAGTTATTTGGTATTTGGTAACTTCAATTAGAGTGACTAAATAATGTACATAATTGCTTCATTATATGCAAATATGTATTTCTGAAGTAATTAGAGTATTACAATGCCAGGTAAACAGTGGTGAGAGAAAGAATCCAGATACGTGAATTTGACTGCAGACATAAAGGAATACCCCAGAGAGAGGGAGCCAATTTTGAGTTGCTTTCTGTTATATCTGGAGGGCAGAATGTCAGTTCATTTTGTGAATTATCCTTTTTCCAAAATTAGTCAACAAGATGGCTACAGGGAGATCACTGAGCCACTCTGATTTTCTCCTTCTTTGCTTTTAAAATAATTGTTCTCTTATCTTCCCCCTACAAAAAAGTTCTGTAATTAGCTGGATACAGTTAATGAAAAACCTGAGTTTTGGCAGCTAAAATGTTTGAAGAACAGAAGCTTTAACAATTAGTAGCAACATTTTAAAGCTCACACCCTGTTTTTGATCCCTCTTTGCATTACGGAAATGAATTTGTTTTGCAATTACCTGTTCTTGTGACAGGCTTTGTCATAAGAACAAGGGAACATGATGAAAGCCAGATATTTGCTAGGAAGTGTTACTGTGTGCTCTGTAGTGGGAATCCTTGGCATCTTTGTTTTCTCTACCTGGAGTTTCAATTATAGGAGAAACATGTAATAATAACCTGGCATGCTGTGATGAAGAAGTGATCATACAAAAGAGCAAATGATTGAAGGTTGGTTTTATGAGGTTTAATAATTTTTGTTATCCAGATGAATAAGAAACAAGCATAAATCATACTGGGACCTGTGATGAGATCCATGTAATTCTGCCCGAATGCACAACCCCCTTGGGAATTTTAAGAAAGGTTGTAGTATTGACTGTCACTTCCCTGTCATTCCTAGTATGGGAATTCATTGTCGGAGGCAGAGAGAGGGAGTGAGACCCTGTGTGTGAGAGACAGTGTGTGCTCTGCTTCTTTCCTCACCTCCCTTTAGGACCACTGCTGGGCCCATACAAATTTTAGAGCATTGTGTCTTGCAGAAATATGGTGAGAGTTAAGAAACTTATCATAGGAACAGATAGTGCTAGGTTGGAGGCATTGACTCCTCCTTTTGCCCACTGGTGGACAATACTGCAAGTCACATCTAGCATTGCTCCCCAAAAACTTTCTAGGAGGAATCTCAAGAGACAAGATTTATATAATCCTCTCATTCTGTGCTGCTTCTGACAATACCTCTTGGAGGTGTTTTTATTTCACACTATAAATTGTATTGTAGCCTACAAACATCTATTTAAAGAGCATTTTGTTTTTGCCGAGGATTCAAGGCAACTGAGCATGTTGGCCTCCTGTTCCATGGCAACATTAGACGGTCAAAGATTGCAGGAATACTGGGTAGCTTTTAATGGAGAGATTCTAAAGTCTTTTGTGTCTGCTCTAATACAGAAAAAAATGATAATCAGAACACTTTTTGGAATTGTCACTGAGTTTTCTACTTGGAAAAACCCTTACATAGCAAAAGCAAATGATTACTACTTCAAACTGCAGACACTTTTGAAGTGTAAATTAGGTAAATGGAGGTCTTGACGCTGGGAAGAGCTCTGATGATTCATTTGTTATGATGTGCCTCCCCACTGTGCTGTACCAAAAGTCATACTATGGGGCTGCCTTGCATAGTTCAGCTGCATCGAATGAGGAGGTACCACATTTAAAAGATGAAGCTACAGGGATGTGTATGCTGTTGTGTGCTGCTGCAATTTATGGAAATGCCATCTCTATCAGCTACAGCAATTAGCTCTTTTTCCTGTCTCTGCTTTTAAGTTACAAATTAATGAGCATGTCAATGAACTTGCCTGTTAGAAAACTGAAAGTAGCCCAGTGTTTGATGACTGTAAATGCAGAAGTAAATGTGCAGAGAAACTTCTAGTGTTGTGTCATAGAGGGGAGTTAAAAGAATATGATTGTGAATGGTATCAGCCCATTATCCTGACACTGCCATCTCTGTGACCACCATTATTAATGAGATGCTGCGATGGTGAGACACCACTAGAAACATAAGTTCTATGGTTTTGACCTGTCAGAAAGCCATGGGAATTATTGTTTTCCTGGGAAAGCAGTGGTCCTTTTTTTACTTCTCTTTTATAGGTGCAAGTCAGTTGACAATTTTATGAAACAAAGTAACGCTTTTTTCTGACACTCATTCTGTTTAGTATGGCAGGACTGAGTACATTATACCCAAATTGAAGAAAGCCTCTGCACGAAACTGGAAAGTGAAATGTCAATCTGTGAAGGTTGTGCTGAGGCTGCAAATGGTAGCAGACACTATTCTACAGAGATCCATATTTGAATGCATGTCTCTCTGTATTTGAACACCAAGTGCAAGTGCTATTACAAGGCACAGCAGGCTCTGGGAGCCGTGTTCAGGCAGGATAAACCTTCGGTCCTTCAGGCGCCTCGCTGTGGATCACACTGCAGAAGTTGGTGCTCTTGCTGTTCTCCTGCTGGTTCAGGAAAGTTTGTGCTGATTTGTGGAAACCTGTCTAATCTTGCATGACATGGCTTTGTGTTATCAAGCATGTGGCAAAATACTGACTTCAAACATTTTGCCTCAGGAGGAGGTGATTTCCTTGCTAACAGCGGGTGGAAGAGGCACTTTTACGTTTTATTTCCATTAGCATTTAGACAATAAGAAGGCCTTGGTGTGTTCTTTAGGAACTAACAGCTTAATAACAGCACTCACTGTTATCAAAGTATTTTTCTGTCACTCACCTCAAACCAGCATTATTTGGGGTTCATGAATGCGTTAAATAATCTTCCAGACCAGACCAGGAAAATTAATGGATAGAGCTGTAGGAGTAAGTGTGGATTGTTTTACACAAATTTGCTTGTCTGCATTGCTAGTATCTCAGAGATGATCATGCAAACCCAACCACTGTACTGAGGATTGCCAAAGCTTTTGTTTCACCTTTGGCCTTTTTTTTTTGTATTCATCCAGCCCACGGGCTTTTTTTTAAATTTGGAAGAGGTCAAACCTTGATGCAAACGTATATAGAAAGGAATTAGCAGTGTGATCAATATAAAGCTGTTCTTGTGTATGGGTTTGAAAAGAAGCAGTCCTTCTCTTCACAGAGGACATTATATTTAAGTGTTTTCAGTGAGAATCTTAAGCACTTTTAGCAGTTATGTAGACAAATGGGAAGCTCACCACTGGTACCGTGTCCAATGTGCAGGAATTGATCCTGAAATGACAAAGTATTGTCATGTGATAAGAATAGGACATTATATCAAGTGAATTACCTAATTACTGCTGTGAGGTAAAGGTGCCCTAAACTAGCTGTGGATAATTCTTTAATTTTGAGATGGTATGGCAGTGGTATTTGTACCTCTGCCTCTGAAGAATGGAAGGTTAGAAAATAAAGCAAGTTTGGATGTGAACTTCTTAGACACGAATGGCAATCCTGCCACTTTGGTGTAAAACAGCTCCCAGTGCTTTAGTGGTGTTGGCGAACATTCTCTTCCTCTGAGCACTTGGTTAAAACAACAGTTTCTCAGTCTCCTTCCTGGTGTGAACTGATCCAAGGCTACAAACCTTACATGAATTATTGCTCCTCCCGGAACTAGTTTAATCTCCTTTTCTCTTTGCAGCTACAAAAAGTACTTCTACAAGTAAAAGAAAAGTTTTAAACCTATGCTATGCCTCTAAAGTTATATGCTTATATATATATATATATATATGCCTTAGTCATATCTGCACAAAAGTCCCTCCTCATTCATCAAAACATGTAAGGACATACATAAAGACAGTAAGAATTATATGCACTCTTAATGCTAATCCTCAACTTGGATTGCTTCCTTGGACTGGTCTGTTTTCCTGAATCTCAGTTTGAAAACAGTTTCTTGGCCTTCTCCAAATAAATGGGTTTACCTTATTTGTACTCAATTCTCTGTTGCTGTTGGATGGAACGCAATTTTTTATTTCTACTGGTCCTGTATTATGTCCTTCACAACTGCAAATTCTCCTTATTGACAGATATTTAATTATGGCTGAATTATCAAAGAGTGATACAGTAAAAGTTTATGTATGAAAATTCTTAGGATGACATGATGCCCTGGTTGTTTCATTGTACATTGTTTGCCACGTGACAC